AAGGACGCTACTAGGGGCTCCTGGCCTTACTACTAGGAACAAGACGCTACTAGGGACTCTTGGCATCGCTACTAGTAACATTCTGATGCTTTCCTGCCTCCTGTGGCTCCAAGGGAATCTGAATTGACCGATGCTTCTTCCGACGCAGAATCATCAAACAGCACGGCCCACAACAAACACCAACAAGCTGCCTAGTAGCAATGGCCTCCAACCTAATGGCATCCTTGTTCCTAGTAGCGATGCCCTTTGTTACTAGTAGCGTCCTTGCTCCTAGTAGTAAGGCCAGGAGCCCCTAGTAGCGTCCTTGCTCCTAGTAGCAATGGCCTCCAACCGAATAGCTTGGATTGACGCGCCGTGACAAAGCCCTGGGCACTGAGAGTCTTCCCCGCCTCCTGTGGCTCCAGTGGCATTTCCACTGCCTCCGAAGGTGTCTCCTGAGTATGGCACAGATTGGTTAGATGGGTTGCTGGAAACGGAACTGCTCTCAATATTACCCACGATTGGGATCCCGAATGATTGACGAACCTTCGGCCAGCTTTCATCGATTTCTCGCCTACTGTCTTATACCATCTTATACCTATAGCAGCTATAGCATATTTTACTTATTCACCACCCCGCTTCCTTGCGCACAAGGAAGTATTTTACTTATTCACCACCCCGCTTCCTTGCGCACAAGGAAGAAAACTCGCCATAGTCAAGCAAAGCCGTGACTTCACTGTGCGTTTCCATTGAAAGCACAAGTCTGCTCGGGCAAACCCAACGATTGACCACAGATCTCCTTTCCAATAGAACAAGCCAATTCTCGTCATAATGTGAAGCACAAATACTGAAGAATGTCCAATAGTTGACATTTATACAAGTCTTCCACCTTACCAGCCACTTGGATGATTGTAAACATCACTGCAAGCAGGAGGGCTTTCACATCCCACCCGCGCCGAACTCCCCAATTCACAACTCCAAATAATGCCAACCATGAAGAATGGTCATCGTAACACCCACCCCGCACATCATCTTCGAAAAGCATCAGAAAAAAACAAAGAACTTGACTCAAAACGCATCATGCGCCAGCAGAGTCAGAGCCATGCAGCACAAACGCTGGGTAAACCAGTGGAGGGAATTGGGAACTAAAAACACGTATCATCTTCCTCATTCTTCCAGTCACTAGTAACAAGTGCATTACTACTAGTAGCAAGAAGCTACTAGTAACAAGTGCATCACTACTAGGACGAAGGACGCTACTAGGGGCTCCTGGCCTTACTACTAGGAACAAGAAGCTACTAGTAACAAGTGCATCGCTACTAGTAACATTCTGATGCTTTCCTGCCTCCTGTGGCTCCAAGGGAATCTCCACCACCGAAGGTGTTACCTGAACAAGTAGCGATGCACTTGTTACTAGTAGCTTCTTGCTCCTAGTAGTAAGGCCAGGAGCCCCTAGTAGCGTCCTTGCTCCTAGTAGAAATGCCCTTTGTTCCTAATAGAGCCAAAAAAAGAACCCAACCACTGCCTCTACACATTCTTGAGCCTCAACCTGTGTGGCCCCTCACTGGGAAACTTCAGCATCCAAGCACTAGATCTAGCCTCGCATCTAAAATATGCTAAGGTGTATTGTCACTGCTGCTGAGGCAGGTGTGTAGGTTGGAAATCCTACCATGCGGCGCATGCTGCCCTGCTGCCGCCAGCCTGGGAGTCTGCCAGCGACTCCACCGACTGAAAGAGTTTCTGGCGCTGGCAGTTTTTTGCAAAGCAAAGTGACAAAGATTGACAACACAATCGTATTAGGTTGGAGGCCATCCCTCGTAGGATGGAGGCGATCGCTAGTAGGATGGAGGCCATCGCTCTTAGGTTAGAGGCCATTGCTAGTGACAAAGATTGACAAACATTTGATAGCTGAAGCATTGCAAGCTGCATCCATGGGCAACGGGTCATGTTCAGCTAACGCATTCTAAGAACACCTCGTTCATAGAGACCTGGTGGACTCTTGCCTTGTGCAGTTCCGCAAACTCATTCACAGGACTGGCGGCTGTCCACGTAAATTCAGCGCGCGCTGGAAGCGACTCCTGTGTTGCAGAAATTGCGTTTCCACCAGTCAAGACTTCCAGCATCCTACCTCTTTGTAGTAGAAACAAGAGGCAATTAGGTTGGAGGCCGTTGCTTACCTCTTTATAGTAGAAGCAAGACAGCCCTGACAGCTCTGAACATAAATCATCGGAGTGTGCCCACTTATGACAACTGTATCGCCAAAGATCTCTTGCCTCAGAGGAAAATGCCCATGACCGTAACTTCGAAATCACCTGCAGCAGAAGCTGCGCCCGCAAAGGGAAAACATGAGTGCGTATTTCAAAGGAACAAGAAGCTATTAGGAACAAGTGCATCGCTTCTAGAAACAGGTGCCTTACTAGTAGTAACAAGGACGCTAGTAGTAACAAGTGCCACGCTACTAGGAACAAGAAGCTTTCTAGGGGGGGTAGGCCGCAAGAGTGGGCTAGTGGCTACTAGTAGCTAGGAAGCTACTAGCAGCTGGGACGCAGGAAAGCCCTCGCACTATCTATTTGCTTCCTAGAGTTTTGGGGAAACATAACCTAATGCCTTGATATTCACACCCGCAAGCCAGTTGCTGTAGATGCACCTTGCTGGCATCAACAGATGAGTGTGCAGAGCCAGCTTGAGGCTTTGCATCCTGACGTTCGAGTGAGGAGAGGAGAATTGCAAAGGCCTACTGCTAGAGAGTATTCTCGTTGCATAAAAACACGAGGGAGAGTTGATGTCCAAAAAACGAAGCCTCAGTCCTCCAAAGACTCTGACGCTTCTGGCGGCCACCGGACCTCGGGCAGCTCCTTGAAAGGCCTCGCAGTCTCTTCCTTCAGAGTCTCCCAGAGCAAAGCAGAGTGTCCGGAACATAACAAACACAACAGTACCAAACAAAACAAATGAAGATCAATGAAGAATCTGGTGGCTTACCACTACAAGGCCATTGCTTCAAAGGCCTCTCGGATCTCTTCACCGACTTCTCTTTCTGTAGCCTGGCAAAATGGAGATCATGTTCTCTTTGAGTAGCAAGATGCATTTACGTTACCAAGCTACCAGAATACTTGTGAGATGAGACAAAAGGTTCCCCAAACACACTTAAGCCTAGAGGACACCCCCAAGAAAAGTTTGTGGGGTTTCCAGGTCTCTGTTTGCCTGTGGCAGCGATACCTTCCACAATCCTCAAGGACAAACGACTACTTGATGAGGCTTGGCATACGCAGGACAGTTGAGAAAAGTAAGTTCTATTTTACTCAAAAGACCACTCGGGGTGTTGAGGACATCAACCTTGGACCGTCTTCACATAGAAACAAGGCATGAACCTTGATTCAATCTGTTCGCTGATTTGCCTTGGCGGGGTGTCAAGCTCTTTCTCTCGACCTGGCGTCCAACTGAACATGCACACAGTTCTAAGCACGGAGCAAAAACTCTGCAGAATCAAGGTAATTCTAAACGAGGAAGCTTCGGGTGAAGGAGCAACTCACGGTGGAAAAGAGCCACATTGCACGAAACGCAGAACTCCACAAAATACAAACAGACTGGCTACACTAGAGAGTGGGCCTGAACCGCTCATTGGGTGCATTGCTTTCGAAGCTATGGCCTTGCAGAGTCACAGCTTCATTGCAAGTGGCAATTGCAACATCGAGATGATCCACGATAAACAAGCATATGCAGCATGCTTTCTTTTTTCAACAACACTTCTTCTCTGTAAAAAAACATCTTGCGTTGCACTTTACCTCACACCCTTGAAGCCAGGTTGCAGCGGGACTGGATGCCTTTCCAAGCTTCCTTATGAACGACTGATCCAAAACACTCCTTTCACTTGTCTTTCTAAAAGGGTCGGCTGGTAGGCCCCTAGGAAGCACAAACTATACTATCTTGTACTGATGAGGTAGTATAGTAGTATACAGTGTATCAGATATCACAAAAAGAAGCTGTTACATATTCTGTCTTTAAAACTCTGTTCGTTTCTCTCTTATATTAATATATATTTCCCCAAGCAGTTTACTGTTGGGGTTCTATCTTAGAAAGAAAAGGGCTGGCCACGCTCACTGGCCGCGCCCCTGATCTCTGTGGCTGGGCTCTGTGGCTGGGCCTTGTCCTCCTCTTGGCCGCGCCCCTGAACTCTGTCAACTCTGTGGCTGTGGCTGGGCCTTGTCCTCCTCTTGTCCTCCTCTTGGCCGCTCTGTCAGCTCTGTGGCTGTGGCTGGGCCTTGTCCTCCTCTTGTCCTCCTCTTGGCCACACCCCTGAACTCTGTCAACTCTGCGGCTGGACTCTGTGGCTGGGTCTGTGGCTGGGCCTTGTCCTCCTCTTGTCCTCCTCTTGGCCACGCCCCTCAACTCTGTCAACTCTGTGGCTGGGCTCTGTGGCTGGGCTTTGTGGCTGGGCCTTGTCCTCCTCTTGTCCTCCTCTTGGCCGTGCCAAGGAACTCTGTCAACTCGGCTTTGCAGCTGTTCTCTGTGGCCTTGTCGTCCTCTTGTCCTCCTCTTGGCCGCGCCCTGAACACTGTCAACTCTGTGGCTGGGCTCTGTGTCCAGGCCTCGTCCTCCTGAACTCTGTCAACTCTGAGAAAGAAAAGAAAGAAAGAAAGAAAGAAAGAAAGAAAGAAAGCAGGGCGCGCGCACGCGCGCGCGTGTGCTTTGGACGGCGCGCTCTGGCGCGCCCTGACATACGCTCCAGAAAGGCGCGCTCAGGGCGCGCTCTGCAGAGAGAAAGACAGAGAAAGAGAAACTTAAAGAGAAAGTGAGAGAGAGAAAGAGAGCAGGGCGAGCGCGCGCACGCTCGTGTGCTATGGACGGCGCACTCGCGCTCCAGAAAGGCGCGGTCAGAGCGCGCTGTGCAGAGAGAAAGACAGAGAAAGAAACACTTAAAGAAAATGAGCCAGAGAGAGAGAGAGACAGAGAGAGAAAGAGAGAGAGAGAGACAGAGAGAGAAAGAGAGAGAGAGAGAGAGAGAAAGAAAGAAAGAAAGAAAGAAAGAAAGAAAGAAAGCAAGCAAGCAAGCAAGAAAGCAAGAAAGCAAGAAAGAAAGAAAGAACGAGAGAGAGAAAGAAGAGAGAAAGACAGAAAGACAGAAAGAGAGAGAGAGAGAGAGAGAGAGAGAGAAAGAGCAGGGCGAGCGCGCGCTCGTGTGCTATGGACGGCTTACTGGGCTCTTGTCCTCCTCTTGTCCTCTGTGCTGGGCTCTGTAGCTGGGCCTTGTCCTCCTCTTGTCCTTGTCTTGGCCGCGCCCCTGAACTCTGTGGCTGGGCTCTGTGGGCTCTGTGTCCGGGTCTTGTCCTCCTCTTTTCCTTGTCTTGGCCGCGCCCCTGAACTCTGTGGCTGGTCTCTGTGGCCCGGCTTACTGGAGAGAAGTGTGGCCGAACAAATAGCGGTGTCAATGCCGACAAAAATCCATTGATGAAGCAGTTTGCGGGTGAAAGTAGGGCGTACCAAGAAATCGATGTTTGACTAATATTGGTCTAAACGAATCGTTTTGAAACTGTTTGGGGTCTATGCTGGTATAATTTTTTTGAAATCACTTCTTTTTGACCAAGGCTCGACGACCTCGCAACTTTGACGGGGGTCACCAGCGAAGCTTCGCGAGATGTGCGGCGCTCGTGCTGCGCACGCTCGGCCTGCGTGGACAGCAGCGGTGGGGGGACGCTGTTCAACAGGGGAAAACACAAACATGGAAAAAGGTTTGGAGGAGGTCTAAAGAAACAGTGCTTGCCAGGATCACTTTGTTTCAAGTGCATCAGGTGTACTGTCTTCATCACTCCTTGTTGGTTGCCAGAATGCTTTTGATTCTAGCTCTCTTGGAATTAAGTACACCAGCAAAGGTATATGCCTGGTACCGGTAGAAGACTCAAGAAACTGAAAGAAACACATGAGAGATGCTTGCAGTCCTGATCTTGTGCTTTCCCCACACGGTTCGGAGTAGCTCTGCTAGACCTGCCGAAAGCAACCCTGAAACAGATGTTGCGATGCTGTGGGCCTTTGTCTTCCCACAAACAAAGGGCATTTCTACTAGGAGCAAGGACGCTACTAGTAACAAGT